GAACACTATAAATTTATTTACAGTTGTTTACAATAATATTATTACAATGATTAAAAGTAAATTAAAACTATATCCTAAATCTCTGGAAATCTTCATCTTCTAGTGCTGCTCCCCATTACTCAACTGATTTTTATCTGCAAAGACAAAAAAGAAAAGAAGTCAAACACAGATAAATTAAGAGCATTCTCAGACAGTCAATCAAATTAAAACTCATCATTAAAAGTGTTGGCCGGAATCAGTTTGTTCGCCCTCTCTACAAATCACAAGAAAGACTCTTGGTTCACAAAGAGGGAAAGGAAATATGTTTGCAAATATAAAAATGTACAAGGCTGCATAATTGAACCAAATGCACAAGCTACTTGAAAAGGCAAACTAAACTGTCCAGAGAGATGTCAACCAAGCTACAAAGTTCAAACTGAATTACACTATCAAACTAGGCAAACCAAATTGTCAAAAGTGTAAAGCTGTCAAACTGTCCAAAAGAGCTGCCTACAAGCTAGCAAAAGCAATGCAGAAAAACTGGAAGTATGCAGAGGAAAGACACAATGAAAGCAATATTTCAAAATTATCATCATTTTCCAGGCCATCACTTTTTCAGAAAAAAGGACAGTAAAGCATTAAAATATGCTTTTCTGATAGAGAGAGAAAAGAGAGAGAGAAGTAGAGGCTTACAAGCAGGCTTAGAGATAAAGAGAACAAATCAGAACACTGTAAAAGGGGGCAGAAAAACATAAAGAAAATATAACACAAGCTCTCAAGCCTGTAACTTCAAAACAAGTTCTCAAACCTGCTAAGCTTCAAACTGTATCAACACAAGCCTGAAGCCTGCTAACCTGCCTTCAAATAACAAACTCAAAGAACAGTAAACCTGTTTCAAACACAAACCAAAGCTTGCCTCAAGCTAAGCAAACAAACAGCCTGCCTCAAGCTAGCCTTAACCTGCCTGTTCCAAAACAACAAAGTCCTGAAGCCTTTCAAGCCTGTTTTTTCTCCAAGCCTGTAAACTCAATAACCTGCTTCAAACATCAAGCCTTAAGCCTGTATCAGAAAACACAAACAAAGCCAAACTATCTCAAGCCTGTCAAACTGCCAGTTTCAAACAAATGAGCTTGCCTCAAAGAAGCAAGCCTCCAAGCCCCAAAGAAAAACAGTTATCAGAACAACGACTGAAACAATAACCAGCATCTCAGAATTAAACAAAGCCAAAGCCCTCAGAACAACTTCATCATAGGGCCAACAGTAGCAAACATCAACTATTGCAATCCATCATCATAGGGTCAAACAAATAAGTATATCAAAGACATCTCAGAAATCATCATTGAGAATCAAAGTTCAAAGAGAGGAAAAAGCCAGAAGTAAAAACAACAACAAAGCAAGCAGAAGAGGAAAGGAAGTTTCAGAAGCAGAGGCCCTAGGGTTTTCAGATTGCAACATTATCATCATAAAACCATTCAAGAAGCAAAAGATACGAATACCAGGAAGGCCACAAAGCTAGCATCACATACTCCCTCCGCCTTCGGCCACCTGAGAAGTGCCGCCGTCCTCCTCCGTCTCCTATCCAAAGGTAGTAATTCCTTCCCCCTTTTCTTTAACACCTCACAGAAACAAATGATAACATAAAGATAAGAATTTGTCAAAGATTAAAAATATGCAAAACTTAAAACCCTAAAGCGTAAGACGGACAAAACTGAGAAATCGTTACCTTTTATCACTGCCTGGGTACGACCATAGAGAGAGGGAAGTGGAGGTGGCGCTCTAGCAGCTGAGGCGAAGAGAGGCGTCAGTAGCTCTGTTGAGAGCGAGGAAGAGAACGGCAAAGAAGGAGAAGGGAACGGCGCCACTCATCAAAACTGTAAACCCTATTCTGAGTAACAACAAAACAAACCCTAAGAAAAATTATCAAACGCGTTGGGCCTGCTCCCTTACAAAATGCCTAAGCCCAATTCTGGCGTACCCCCCCTCCCCCCCCCCCCCCCATTTTTTCTATTGATTCTGTTTGTTTTTTTTTTGTTTGGGCCAAACACAAAACATAAGGCCCACATAACTTCCTTTTATTTTATTTTCTTTTAACCAACATTTCTTAATTTTCTTTTTTTTTCTTTTATAACCTAATTCCTTTTTTAAATAATATATTAACCTTTCATGTAAAATATTTATTAATACTTTTTTATCACATTTAAGAGTACATAAAAATAGGATTTTTTCTAAATTAAATAATTTCCTTTTTAGAATTTTTGTTTAATAAACCTTTGTATATACACTAAAATACATAAACATTAATTTTCTTTAACTTAAATATTTTTATTTTATTTTCTTTAAAACTTTTGTTTGTATAGTTAACAAAAAATAAAAAAAGATAATAATACTTAATAATACATTAGGTTAGTTTTTGCATCATTTGTAAATAATCACATACATTGCATGATACTTTTATTTCTCTTTGATTCTTATACTTTGCTATACTTTTACATTGAGAATGCGATTCGATTTGGTTGTAAATATTATTTGGACACTACTATCCTGATAAGACTCATCCCCATTTGTAAATATTTGTACCCCCATCCCCGAATACTTATTTGTAATAGCTTAGACTTTAAATTCCCGCAATTTATCGCTTTCTATATACTGTATAGTAATTAGGGTTTGTATGCGAAGATTCCAAATCAACCGCTAGATAACCTAATACAAGACAAATGCATGAAAATCAAATACACCAATCACACTTGCACCCCTAGGGTAATCCCGCTTGTTGCCTTCCAAAATGGGCCATGTTTGCATGTCAAGTACTTTGGCAAAACAAAAGACAAATCAAATGATCATAGTCCCTCGATGACGCTTTCGAAGTTGCCTAAACAAAATGATCATAGTCCCTCAAGCAAATTGCCAAAATACTTGACACTATTGCATTCATGGTCTATACGATGACCCGTGCCCGTCCCGTTAACATCCTAACACAAGGTTGTTCACCAAATACAATGGTGGAACAATACTGTTAAAAGGGTTAAAACATGATGAAACAACTGGCTGAAAATCATCAAAACAATGAAGTCGCTATCGAACATCTTTTATCCCACATGTAGGGAAAGGTAAACATCGAGAAAACCTGAGAAGGGAGAAGTCACGGTCTTGTGACCGAGAGATCGGGTAAGGGAGTCTGTTACGCGAGGGGAAGGTATTAGCACCCCACACGCCCGTAGTACTCTACGGTATCCACTCTTGTTGTCTATCTTATGGGTGTGTTTCGTCTATGCTTACTATCTATTATACTACTGGAAGGAAAATGCATGCAAAAGATAGGAGAAAAGAATGTAGGGAAAATAAAATTGTGCTCGCCTGGGCCCTACCCTAATGCCTACGTATCCTTTTTGAGGAATCAGAGCTACCGTAGTTCGGCTCACATGTTTTTGTTTGTTTGAGTTTTTTATGGACAATGTTAATTCCGCCTTCTGCTGCAGCTCGACCTTTGGAGACTTATGCGTTGGCACAGAAGTAAATTAATCATGTCCTTACCTGAAAAGGGTTTTACAGAAAAGGTGCTCGAGCGCACAAAATGATTTGAATTTGTTTTGTATTTTTGTTACCTTGAAAAAGGGTTTAAGTGAGATTAGCATGTTTTTAATTTTCTAAGAAGAGAAGTTTTTGTTTTAGATGCACATGCAAAAGGGGGAAGAAAAGAGTCTAAGGGAGACTAGCCTATTTCTAAACCTAATGTTATCAAGCAATAGTAGCCCTACGTCAAGGATGAAAGGGGAAGTTTCTACCTAATGTCAGCATGCATGGTTTACAACCTAAGGTCTAACTTGCGTCCGAACGGAGCAAGCGCATCCTAAGGGAACATGGTATGTACAAGGATAAAGCAAGCAAGCTTATAAGATCAAGAGAGAACCTAAAGAGATCCTGCCTAGGTTAGCATGCCAAAGAAAAGTCTAAAAAAACTATCCTATAGGGAGCATGCAATGAGAGCGAAGTCGTGATCTCAATTGCTAAATTGAGTGACTCATCGATCGGCAAGAAAGAATGGAAAGCGATAAAATCCTATAGGGAGCATGCACTGAGAGCGAAGTCGTGATCTCAATTGCTAAATTGAGTGACTCATCAATCGAAAAGAAAGTAAACAAACACAAGCACAACACATATTGTAAATGAAGTGCGGAATGCCTGCTACAGGTCTTTAAACAGCGACTTCGAGCGCACGCTCTTTATTTCCTACTTCTCATGATATCTAGAAAGCAGTAAAGTGCTGAAATGAGATAAACAAGAGAGAATACCAAACAGATATCAATCTGTAGCAAAGCCTATCAAAACAAAGGAACTCGACGATCTTCGCGAAAGCTTCACCAATCAAAGAAAAGAGTCAGAAATCAAATGCTCAGAATAAATGTCGACGCATCGCCGATGTGAAAATAAATCACAATCGAAATCTCGAGCGCATTTGCATATCGCACAATAAACCTGCATAAGACTCAAATTTCAACAAGAAAAAATGAATTACCGATCTCAAATATCATCGGACAATCGGAATTAAATTCCTAAAATCTCAAATAAAAATTAACAAATTTTTATATTTGAATTTATTATTTTTTAGATTTTTTATAGACTAAAGAAAAATCGAAAATTATGTACTAAAACGGATAAGAGTCAAATTTATGTAGAATCTGCCAAGAGGTGTATAACCAAATCTCCTATTTGCACTAATTCTAGTCAAATGGGCATTCAGATCCATTAATAAGGGAGTGTAATCACAAATTTATTAGGCCCAAATTTAAAACTACTCCTAAGCCTGTTTGTTCCAAAAACAATAACCTTCCAGCTTTTTTTTTTGCTCATTTAATATGCCACGCCCCTTTTTTTTTGTGTCCAACCATTTGCATTTCTTTACTAAGCTGCAGATAAACCACAACATAAATGTTCTTAAAAAAAAAGAAAAAGAAAAGCAATTCCAGTAATAAAAGAAACGCGATTTGATTGGCTAATGATGAAGATTCATGAACTAATGAGAATCAGCCATGTCTAAGGAAAATATTCATATCACAAAACCAGACGGCGGCTTCCACCACCTTCTCCGGTGGTGTATTCGCCGGTAGTGATGGATCATGAACGGAAAAAAAAATCCAAGCCGACGACACTCTCCCACTCGATTTTGTCCATAAAACGTAAAGATGAGCTTCAAATTTCCAGATCTCTATTCCATCATACAATATCTCACAACTCAGAAATCCAAGATCTCACCATGTATTCTTGCTGCACAAAGCGTACCTCCGAAAGAAGGACTTCTAGACGTCGCTTACATTGATGCTACTAACAAGCAATTAAGATCTAGCAGGATGCACAAGATTAGAGGAGAGTTTCAATAAGATTTACCTAAGCGAAGACCACTTCTCTTTTCTTCAGATAACTCCGCGACTGCTTTCGCCTGCCTTAGATGTGATGAACATGATCCAAATATTCTTCAGATTTGTGATGAAAGCGCGAAAGCCGACTTTGAAGCTTGAGGAAGATGATGCAGAACTGGGCGATACGGCGTTCTTGATGCCAAGTAAAAGTGAAGCAAGGCTTCCTTTTGGAGAGAAGAAGAAGGAAATCTCAAGGTTACGGACGATCGATCGAGAGAGATGGTAAGAAACGACTATGCTTCAGAGATGCAGTCTTGAGGCATTGAGCCCGAACAATTCGGTCATGATGATGATTTTGAAGATGAAAGAAAAAGAGTGAGGTTGTTACGGTAGAGAGCCAGTTTTTTGTTCCGATTTCTCATGGTTAAAGATGATAGATGCAGGAGAGAGAGAGGTTGAGGTCCATTTCTGTTATGGTGGTTAATGTCATGGAAAAAAGAAAGAGAGAGTGGGAGTGTTACTGTTATGAAGAGGGTGAGGTTGTTGCCAATGAGAGAAAGTTTGTTACATTCTGTTATGAGCCAAGTTATTCTTGTTACCGTCGCGAGCATGAGCCAAAACTTTTTTTGTTGCGGACAGTTTGTTACGGTCTTTTGGATTAAAAAAAAGAAAAGGCTCCTTATAATTACTATCATTATACATGCCATAAATTATTGCATGGCCATCAAAACTGTCATCCCATGCATACAGAATTATGATACAGTAGCCTTTTTTTCAAAAGATTATGTTATTATGCATGGTCACATGACCGCCTTCATGCTTGTATATCTTGCGCTATAACACTCCTTTCGGCGCGATCTTGATAACATTAAAAATAGGACGTATCAAGGAACATTCTTCGTGTTGGCCTCGCCTCGAAATAACGACCATAGCCCGTCCTAAGATGGTCCTGAAATTATGAAACCATAACTGAAATAAACACCGGCAATTCTGTCATTAGCGACAATTTCCCGTCAATGCTCCAACCTCCTTTTCATGATTCAATAACTCGAGATATAGCGTTTTTCAAGATAAAGTCTCAACATAAAAGTTGAAGAGTGAATTTCCCTAAACATCATTCATGTTGGAAAATTTCTTGAGCTAACTCTCGAAACATAAAAAAAATGACCGTAAAGCCGTGGTACCAAAACTGTTCACGATAACTGGAAACTCACCATGCAGAACTCAATTCCATCACCACGACTTCAAAATCTCGTAACTTTCCCAATGATGATCCAAACGCCATAAATTTGATACCGTTGGAAAGAGGACAAATGATAGAACAAGTTCACAGTTTGCTTCCAATTCGGACACGGCTTTAATCGTAAAGAAAAATGCCATAAGCATATGCCTTGCAACTGTTCGACAAAATGCCAGGCTTGGCATTACAAATTCCATGCCTGGAACCTACCTCTCGTCCTCTTCAATCCTCCTACTTTGCGCTTCAATATTTCTTTCCACGGTGCACAAAACAAGACGAAGTTTGAACCAAAAATGAAGAGTGTGTGACACACTCCAACTTTCATGTTCGACATATTTCGAAACGAGACGTAAATCCATGATAAAAACGTCCTAAACATGTGCCTGCCACCTGCTCGATGAAATGTTGGCTAGGCAAGGCAAGTCTTGGCAGCATTTTACCTTTCAAGCCTTCAAAACGTAAACATCATAACTTTCTCTACGAACCTCCGAATAGTACGATTCTTGAATCAAAACTGGAGAGGAGAATCTTTTTGTCAAATGCTCTTTTCATTCTCTGTTGGTACAACTGGCCATGACAGATGGCCGCCAGCCGTTTTTCATCAATCATATTGAGTTGGTCGTACCTTGTCTGAACCCATTCTGCCTCATCAAGCTTGGTTTCCATCAGAACCCTCAACGAAGGAATCTCTACTTCGACAGGGAGCACGACATCAGTGCTGTAGACAAGCGAAAATGGGGTTGCCCCTGTCGAAGTGTGTACAGATGTCCTGTAGCCATGTAGAGCAAAAGGCAACATTTCATGCCAATCTTTATACGTTCTGACCATCTTCATGACGATCTTCTTTATATTCTTATTAGCAGCTTCAACTGCACCATTCATTTTTGGTCGATAAGGTGATGAATTGTGATGTTCGATCTTGAATTCTCCACACAATTCTTTCATCATGTTGTTGTTAAGATTAGAACCATTATCAGTGATGATTCTATGAGGGACTCCATAACGGCATATGATTTCCTTCCTGATGAAATTGGTGACGACCTGTTTGGTTACATTCTTGTAAGAAGCTGCTTCTACCCATTTGGTGAAATAGTCGATAGCCACTAGGATGAATCTATGACCGTTCGAAGCACTTGGTTCAATTCTTCCAATCATATCAATTCCCCACATTGCGAACGACCACGGGGAAGTCATAACATTCAGTGGGGTTGGAGGAACATGAATTCTGTCTGCATATACTTGGCATTTGTGGCACGATTTCGCGTATACACAACAGTCGCTCTCCATCGACGTCCAGAAGTATCCTGCTCGTAAGATTTTCTTTGCCATAGAATGCCCGCTTGAATGAGTCCCGAAATAACCCTCATAGATTTACTTTATGATCGACTTTGCTTCGTGTCTATCCACGCATCTGAGCAGAACCGAGTCATAATTTCTCTTATACAGGACGTCTCCTGATAAGAAGAACTTGGATGCTAATCTTCTAAGCGTACACTTAACACAAATTGTAGCATTTTCGGGATACTCTTGTGTATCAAGGTACCTTTTAACGTCGTAATACCACGGCTTCTCATCAGTCATATCCTCAGTTGAGAGACAATGGGCAGGAAAGACATGTGCCGGCTCTTTGTACTTGAGGATGCGTATATTAGGCGCCTGATTTGGAAAGCTCACCGAAAACATGGATGCTAGTGTGGCTAAAGCATCAGCCAGCTGGTTTTCATCTCTGGGAATGTGCTCAAAGGTGATTTCCTTAAAAGCGGGTATTAGCTGCAAGATGTAATCTTTGTATGGAATCAAACTGGGGTGCTTCGTTTCCCAATCACCTCGTACCTGATGTATGACCAGAGCAGAGTCTCCAAAGACTTCCAGGATCTTGATTTTAAGGTCGATAGCTGCCTCAAGACCCATTACACATGCCTCATACTCTGCCACATTATTTGTACAATCGAAACATAACCGGGCCGTAAATGGTGTATGAATATTATGTGGAGAAGTCAGTACTGCCCCAATGCCATGCCCTGCAGCGTTCGAAGCACCATCAAACGTAAGAGTCCATCGTTCTTCTGGATCGACCCCATCATAATCATCAAGCTTCATAACATCTTCATCAGAGAAGTTAAATTTCATTGATTGGTACTCCTCTAACGGCTGATGAGCAAGATGATCCGCAAGAATCCTACCTTTGATAGCCTTTTGTGTAACATATTGAATGTCATATTCAGATAGAAGCATCTTCCATCGAGCAAGTCTTCCTGTGAGTGCTGGTTTCTCAAAGATATACTTTATCGGGTCCATTTTCGATATTAGAAGGGTCGTGTATGTCAGCATATACTGCCTCAAACTCCGAGCAGCCCAAGCAAGCGCACAACAAGTTTTTTCAAGTAAAGAATATCTAGATTCGCAATCGGTAAACTTTTTACTCAGATAATAGATGGCGTGCTCTTTACGTCCTGTTTCATCCTGCTGCCCGAGCACACAACCCATGGATCCTTCCAGCATCGTCAAGTACATAATGAGTGGCCTCCCAGGCACTGGAGGGATAAGGATTGGTGGCTCTTGAAGGTATTGTCTAATTTTTTCAAAGGCTTCTTGGCAATTAGCATCCCATCGGACATCTTGATTCTTGCGCAGCAATTTAAAGATGGGTTCACAAATAGCTGTGAGATGAGAAATGAGCTTGACTATATAGTTCAGTCTCCCGAGGAACCCTCTTACTTCTTTTTCATTTTTTGGTGTTGGCATATTCTGTATTGCTTTTACTTTGTCGGGATCTACCTCGATGCCTCATTGACTTACGATAAAACCGAGTAGTTTGCCGGATCGCACTCCGAAGGTGCACTTATTCGGATTAAGCCTTAGTCTAAACTTTTGCAGACGCGCAAATAACTTTTGCAGATGGACAAAGTGTTCGTCCTCGTTTTGTGATTTCGCGATCATATCATCAACATACACCTCGACCTCTTTATGAATCATATCATGGAAAAGCGTCACCATGGCACGTTGATATGTTGCACCAGCATTTTTGAGGCCGAAAGGCATGACCTTATAACAGTAAGTACCCCATGGAGTAGTGAATGTCGTCTTTGTCATGTCTTCTGGGGCCATCTTTATCTGATTATATCCTGAAAAACCATCCATAAAGGAGAAAACCGAGGACTGAGCCGTGTTATCAACCAACACGTCAATGTGTGGCAACGGGAAGTCGTCTTTTGGGCTTGCTTTGTTCAGATCTCGATAATCTACACACATGCGCACCTTCCCATCTTTCTTAGGGACAGGTACGATGTTGGCAATCCAATCTGAGTATTCACATACCAACAAAAAGCCTGCATTCAACTTCTTTTCAACTTCTTCTTTGATTTTGAGAGACATATATGGACGAGTTCTCCTTGGCTTCTGCTTTATTAGAGGACATTCTGGCTTGAGTGGCAAGTGGTGCATGACTATATCCGTATCTAGACCAGGCATATCTTCATACGACCAAGCAAAGATGTCAGAGTATTCTCTAAGAAGCTCAATCAACCCTTTCTTTACGTTATCTTGCAAAGCGGCCCCTATCTTGACCTCCTTTTTTATTGTGTCAGTGCCAAGATTGATGACTTCAACGGCTTCTTGATGAGGCAATATCACTTTTTCTTCTTGTTTCAATAGTCTTGCCAATTCCTCCAGAATTTCACAATCTTCCCCACTACCCTCATCAGCTTGGTCATTCGGATTCCCAAGGATATTGGTGCAAGGAACTGTAACATCACCGTTTTTCATGGAATTTGAGGCAGACCTGCATGATTTGATGAATCATGCCTTATTTTAGAATATGGATGCGAATTGGAAAATGGTTAAAGAGTTAAAAAAAAAATATTGCCATTTTATTTTACGAAAATAAAGAAAGATAGAGAGCAAAAATTGTATGCAAAGAATGACATTTTATTCAATTTTTTAAACAAACATAGAAACATGATGGGCCCTCTTCACAAGCCGTCAACATGCTTCGGGCAAAAGCATGCGACTTATTTAAAACAAGAACATTAAATGTCAAAGAAAACCACTTCGGGAATATCAGTGGCAGTCCAATTGCCGAGCTCTTGATCAGGCGCAATCTGGTAGATGTACTGAGCCATATCTGCATCGTCTTCATCATCAATTGCATGGATTTGTCCTTGAGCCTCCGGACCGGCCTTAACAAATACCTTTAAAAGCGGAGGAACTTGTTTTCCCTTGATCATAATTGGATTCTGCCAACATGGTCTAAAAACGGAGACCTGAACCCAAGTCTAGACTTGTCTTGCTTTTCGCGCACTTCTATCACTTTTCCCCAGTCTCCATTAGGGACTCCAGATTCCACAATAGCTTTGGCATCTCTCAAGGAAACCATCGGAACTCCAGACTTCTGTATACTTTCCAGCGTAGTGGGGACTCTGTCAACAGAAACAATTTCCAAGGCCTGAAAAGGGGTTTCATGAACTTCCCCGTCTACTTCGACATAACGGAAGGAAGTAACATTGTTAATCATGACATCTTCCTCTCCGCCAATAATGACGAACTTATCTTGAACGATGAACTTCAAACGTTGGTGCAGGGTTGAGGTAACGGCCCCTGCCACATGGATCCACGGGCGCCCTAACAAGCAAGTGTAAGATGGACGAATGTCCATGACATAGAACGATAGGTAGAACACGTGGGGGCCGATTTTGATGGGTAAGTCAACTTCTCCTTCTACAGACCTCCTCGACCCATCAAAGGCTTTGACTGTCAGCATACTGGGTTTCATCATCACTCCGTCCATGTTTAGCTTGAGCAGAGTATGTTTAGGCATCACATTCAAAGAAGACCCAGTGTCTACTAAGACCCGAGACATTACAGTATCTAAGCACCTAATGGAAATATGAAGCGCCTTATTATGAGCCCGACCCTCAGGAGGGAGCTCGTCATCACTGAAGCCTAGACAGTTTCCTGCAGAAATATTTGTAACAACCCCTTCGAATTGGGCCACAGAGATCTCAGGATTTACATGGGAACCATGTATAATTCTCATCAAGGCGGTTCGATGAGCTTCGGAATATAGGAGGAGGGATAAGATTGAGATCTTTGCAGGCGTCTGATTCAGCTGGTCAACCACCTTGAAATCACTCTTCTTGATTACCCTGATTAACTGCTCCACCTGTTGTTCAAAAGACGTCCCAGGAGAATCATTAAC